ATGATGTATCACAATAGTGGTTTCCACCACTATAAATCTTACAGGTCTCTCCCGTTCCACTATCCAACTGGCTTACTACCCTACTGGCTCACTAGCCTAAGTTACACACTACTAGGCTCACTAGCCTAGCTCACAGTCACACGCAATATAAGCCTTCGATATTCTCATCTACGGTCAACACTGACGGCCGCCTTCAACCGCCTAACCTCCAGACCGCCTAACGGTTTAACCGCCCGATCGCTGTACACGCACGCCGGCGCTCACTAGTTCAAACCCTAACTCGGGTCGAATCCTAACACAAAGTAATTCGGCTGACAATAATCACCGAATTCTACGCACTCCCACTCAGACGAATTACTCAAAGCCTTTGTAACTCGTCACGCTTCTCTTGCGGGCTGTGTTCTTCGCTTTCGGCGTCACCCACACACCTCCACTTTCGCCACCCTCGCTCTCCTGATAGCGCATTGCGTCGCTCTTCTCTGACGACGTCTTCTCCACTCCGTGCTCCGGCTCTTCGGCTCCCACGGCTTCCGTTGCTACTCCCACATTTGCCTGATACCACTCGGCGGGATCCCGTCGCACTCTCGCACGATGTTTTTCCAACTCTTGGGACTCCACTACAGGCTTCTCCGTTGCCTGTTCCACATCGGCGGGCTCGCTCTCTACCGCCGTCACTTGGCTTTCCTTGGCCTCTCCGATCTCCTCAGACACCTTCACACCTTCGCGCACAACTTCCACAATCGGCCCACATTGGCTCTCTTTTGAATCTGTGCGCGCGGCGCGGCTGCGGACCTTCGCGAACGCGGGTGCGTCTCCCTAGCGCTTCATTTTAAATTCCGCCCCTTTTTCGACCATTTTGAACATGTGCGCGGCTCCTCGTCCGCCCCCACACAAGTTCCCCTTTCTCGTCGTCCAACTCGTCTAGATCGATCTCCACGACCTTCACCGTCTTTTTCACCACGCTTTCCGCTCTTACCGGCCTCTTTGCCACGGTGGCGCACACACGGTCCTTTTTGACCGGTCCTCTCGCAAGGAATGACCTCTGCTTCCCTACGGTCTCAATTTCCCACAGTCCTCCACGCTTGAGTGCCTCCATACGAACCACGTTGTCTGTTCTTCTTCCCAGCTCGTTTGAGCTTCCCCGGCCCTACTCTGAGCTTCAGTAGCCTCTCTGTTTGGCGGCATACGCCACAGCTTCATCCCCACCCAAAGTCCCCTTCAAGACCTTGCTTCAGCCCTCAAATTTAGCTTCTGCTCTCTCTGCATTAGCTTTGGCTGGATCTCATCTAGGGTTAGCTCCTCTTCCCCAAGCTCCAAGAACTCCACAACGGTGGCATACTCTTCCGGCAAACCCTCCAAGGCGTGCACGGCCAGCTCTCCTCTGGGACGGTTTGGCTTGGTGTAGACAACTACATCAATTGGAGTCGCAAAATCAAGTTCTTGCTAACCTCCAAGGATCTATGGGACGGAGTGACGAATTCCGAGGAGCACGCATCTCAATCAACAAAAGCGTTGTCCATCATAGGGC